AGACGACAAAAACAACAAATCGGATGAGAAATATACAGGGTGAGATGAAAAAACTGTCATTTCTGAGCCACCCATCTGACAGCTGTTGAAATTATTCTATATTCTTTACAAGCGTACGAAAGCATTTTGGTGAGAATTTCCCAGAAAAAAGTTATTCGTCATGGAATTTAAGCGTGATAGTGTGATTTCTTTATATTTGGCTGGAAAACTACAAGTGGCTATCGTTAGAGCACTCCAGCATTTAAATGTGAATAAATCTTTTGTGTTACCGTGATACTGGTAGGGTAGCCCGACGTCAAGGAAGTGGACGGAAGAAAACACCAACATCAGCAGAAATGGTTCGAAAAGTAAAGAAACGACTTGATCGAAACCCGCGTCGCAGTGGCCGAAAAATGGCTCGTGGGCTGAACATATCGCAATATTCCATTCGACAAATATTAAAAAAATGAAATTCCAAAAAGTGCAAGAACTTACACCGCAACGAAAAGAAAATAGACTCAAAAGAGCTAAAGAGTTGCTTCGCTTGGCCGAAAGTGGTGAACTGTCGAATTTGGTTTTCTCCGATGAGAAAACATTAGTTGTCCTGCAGTTTGCAAACAAACAAAATGATCGTGATTAATTGCCAAAGGGGTGAGCTGAAAATGTGCACCTTCGGTTGGCCACCCGAAACTCAAGCACCGACCATGGTGATGGTGTGGGCCGCCATAACAGCCGATGGTCGCTCTCCGCTCGTATTAATCGACCGTGACATCAGAATAAATGCCGAATATTGTAGCGAAAATATTCTGGAGTGCGTATTAAAGCCTGGGGCACGCAAACGTTTTGGCAACAGACCTTGAACATACACACATCATCAGCGCCATCGCACTCAGCACGCGTCACCCAAAAACCTCAAAATCCCCGGATCCCAATCCGTTGGACTAATGTGCCTGGAGTATTTTGGAAAACAAGGTTGGTACTAAAAAATATCAAAGTGTCGATCAAGCAAGCGCTTCGCCGGGAATGGGCCAAAATACCGCAGAGCAACATTCGGGCAGCGTGTGACGGTTTCATTGGTCATTTGAAGGCCAAAGGTGACCAATTCAAACAAATCTAGATAAGGTGCGAAAAGTGGACAATATCTGTCACTCCATCGAGTACCTTCCCCACAAAGGGTTAAAATTATAGAATGTGATGTAAGTGTCTGATGTTTTAGAATTACACACATTTGGTACATTCTGGTACCTCGCCCACAAAGTTTCAAAATTTTGAACCTCTTATTATAATACCTCACCTACAAAGGGTCACAATTTCTTATACCTATATCTGTCATAACTTGCGAAACAAATCGGCGATTCCTTACAACTTGCTATATCTAAATATATCTCTTAACCAGATATCTGATATGAATATGTAATTTATCGGAAATTATGATTTCGCATAAAATTGGATATAAATTTCCTTCAAGTTTTGCACATGCATTGAATGAAGTATGAAAACAGAATACTTCGATCCGCTATATCTGCTACCTAACGCATATTTCCACATTTTCCAAAAAAATGCACACATCACATATAAAGTATGGGAACTAGTCGATATAGTCTAAATCTAGCACGTTAAAATATTTATATCATCATACGAATTGGTCAATATTGGCCAACTGCTACGGAACCTCCTCCATAAAGGGACAACGGTTTGAATAATCATAACTCAAGGCTGGGGGTATACATCTGTCGGCAAAACCGACTGATACCATTTTTTTTCTTGTTTCTGATCAAATTATTACTTCCTATCACAGACGTACTCATATTGTTCATAATATATTTTTTTAAATATATTGTTTCAATGACAATTGATATAAAATCTTTAAGGATACTGGAGTGTGGAAATAAAACGATCCCAAAACGATTTGTGTCACTGCATTTGTCTTGTCACCGAAAGATTATTGCATTTCAAAAATATTAGTTTTAAGGATACTGGAGTGTGGTAATAAATCTTATTGGCCAATAAATGACTGGAATTGACCTGGAAATAGATTCTTTGTAAATCCTTGAAAATTTTTCTCATAAAAAACGAATGTAGTCCACAAAAAAATTCAATGCAGGAAAGTACATTTTTTTTTAAATCGAAATGTAGGATAGTTTTATACTCTAATTTCGCTGTCATCAATTAATAATATTTAATTATATTCTACAATATAGATTGAACACTACTTACCTTCTTGGCACATATCCAGTATGTTTTGACACCGCTTTTACGATTCTTAACAAAATTATATCCCTTGTAAGACAATAACTTACAATTTCTCTGGCCGACAATGAACTGCAAATCGTCATTCTCCGTCTTGATAACTAAAAAACAATAGACAAAAGAAAAAAACATATGTTAATAAAATTAAATACAAATTAATTACAATAGAAATATATTTGTGGGTAATACCGAATTTAGCACCAACATTGAATTATAGCAACATGTTCTTAAATACTTTATTAAAAATGAACAAAATAAATCAAATACAATTGTTTTCATCTAGAATTATAAAAATATATAAAGAGAAAAAAAAAGAGAGGCAACGATTAAGTTATATTTTTACTTAGGTGTCTAATAAAACGGTCATATGGCAAATGGGTGGTGGTGTCCGAAATTCCTTAAAACGGCGGGTGATTATGTTTGCCACATTTAAGAACAACATCGTGGCGAAAGTCCTCATCGATGGTTACGGCTCTGGCTTTGCACTTGTGTATACCAGCACGGGCACAAGACCAGTAGGTTTTATTTCCCGATGCCTTATTGCGCGTGAAAGTGTAGTCGCCAACTTTTAATTTACGACTACCGCGAAAACCAGTGATATAGGTGATGAAGAAATTGCCTACCGGTCGTCCAGTGGTTGAAAGTGAGCATCGAAAAAGAAAGAAAGAAATATAAAAAAATTATATGATTAATAAAATACTAGATCTAGAAATTGTCGATCTCATCTCATAAGTCCAACTGTAATTAATGACGTTGATTTTTCTTATTTTTATTAATTTATCTTATTTATTTAGAATTTATAATTATAAAAATTAAATCTAAATATATAGATTTCTTAGTTTAAGTGTTTGAATTTTAAATAATAGAATTCTTAACAACTAGGAAATTAAAATTTAAGTAAAATATCTATGTCCTAAATGACATACAGTTGTTTTTTTTATTTATAACAATAAAAGGACCCCACAACATACATACTTTCAAAGAGACATAGTTAAAAATGTGGACATAAAGTGAACATTTATTATAGGCATCATATATGGAAATATGGTCCAAAATCTGACTAAAAAGTTAAAGTTCTTTGAAATTAATACATTTGATGCCATATATTTTTGGCAATGCCATTTGGAAAGTATTTGTTTGTTTGCATTGCCTTATAATATGAAGTTATACTTTTCCGCACAGGGTCACTCTCTCTCTCCCTTCAGCCAACTAATGATCTTGTTTGAATTCCTGCTTTTCAAAACACTCATCCTGTTTAACCTTGGCCACACGCTCTGCTTTGAGATTTTTCAAGGAACCATATTTACGGGCTTGTGTAATTACTTCATGGTTATGATCACTGTTGAGTACGGTCAGTGTTTGGCCTTTGGTTTTGATGCGGGCCTTGCAGCGTAAAACGGCAAATTGGCTACAACGCCAGTAGGTGACATCCTCGCGTATGACATGTCGATTGAAGGTGTGCTGTTTGAGTAACAGTTGTTTTGTACCATATTTACTGACCACGAAGACGGGGCCATTGTTGCTGCTGCGCAGTGTCGAAGTAGAGATGCGTTGATTTGCCGACAAACAGGGTGCGGCCGCCGTCGCCGCCGGTGGCTGCTGGCTAGTCACTGTGACTGCTCTTATACCCAAATTCTGCTGCTGTTGCAGGGCTGCAGCACTTATTGGTTCCACAATGACTTGCTCATAGTAATGGACTTGTCCTGCAATGTGTGTTTGGTTTCATGTCATGTTTGTTGAAATACATAAAAAGGAAGAAAAATACAAATTCCAAATTAATAAAATCCTGTATGATCAGGAACATATTTCATTTACTTCAGTATCAAGAGCAAGTGCTAAGAAAAACAAACATCTTTTAAGTTTTATTTCATTTATTTGCCACAGGATGCTTTGTGTGTTTTACATTTAATAAGTTGGCCTCCTTTGAGATCGCTCAGCACTAGATATGCCGGACAGTCAAGAGTTAAGCAAAACCAATAACTTCGATAGGGTGTAGCTCGAGTCTTCTGGTACTTGATGCCTTTGTGAACGATATATTCCACAGTACCTACTTTTAAGATGCTGATTTCTAAATGATGGGAAGAAAGGGATGGTTGGGATTACAAAAAGAAATAAATATTACTTGGAAATAGAAAAAAAAATAAAAATGTTGAGACAGAAATGAAACAGAAAGATAAAAACCTACCAATGTTGTTGTGGTTGTGGTATTTTAAAATTTATTTGTTAAAATTGTGGTCTTCGTAGAACTTATAATAATAGTATTGTACTCTGCAATACCATATATATCTTAGCCTAGAAACAGTTTCTTATTGTCGCCTTTTATAAGATTCGGAGGCATGTTGTCAGCTGCAAACTTGGGCGGATGATTGTGAGGATTTTTACCCAATTTCAGGCCACCCTCGACTTTGGTAATGCATCGGGCGGTGCACTTATTCTCCGATACACGTTTACCATTTCCATTCGAGCAAATCCAATTGATTGTGGAACGAAAACTGGCCTCCTTCTTGTACATGTAACCGCGGAAGATAAGATTCAAACCTTGTTTCTGATTCCGTATGTAATGGTACACTTCATTGTCCAACCAAACGCCCACCGGTACATCGAGAATGTAAAGCTGCGATACGGACTTGACACTTCCACTACCAGCTGATCGCAAAAATGACGTTCCTGTGAAAATTTAGATACAAAACAATGTTATTAAAAGGGTTAGTGATATGGAAACAAATTCATCTTTACTCTGTACTTTTTGTTTGAGAAGAAATTCAAAAGTATTTGGTAGATTAACTTTATTTAAAAGTTGTATATTGAACAGTTACAATTATTTGCTTAAAAAAATTAAAGATTAAATATTTATGATATTTAAGTTAAACGTTTGCGTTACAGTCTCCCTTCAGTCATTTAATCTAAAAATTTTCTGGAATAAGACATAAGATATGGGCTTTTGATAGTTTAATTTATTCTCTTAACGGAATTTATCATCCTTTGCACTGTTTAAACTCCCAAAAACTGAAATTTTGAAAAAAAAAATGTGTTTGGATGATTGACTGCGTCGTTTTATACGGCATCGCAGATTAATAATTTGTCAAAATACATTTTATTACAGTCTGTTAGACTAATTGGTCAAATCGTGGAATAATTAACTACACTTATCTGACAGACTTAAAAATAAAAAAAAATATTTCGAATATAATCAATGATATAAAAATAATATGATTAATCGTGTGTGAGATTTGCAATTGTTTTTCTACATTTGTCAATGTTTCGTGTTTCAAGGCACCGGTAGAGGAAAGAGCGGTGAGAAATAAGCTCATCCGATAAGAATATGTAGCTTAACTCTATTAAGGCGGAAAATGTTGTAATTTGTCTATTTTACATTAGTTTACTTTTATTATTATTTAAAGCCTTTCAAAAATATAAAGTAAAATGTAATAGATTATCGTTTAAAAAAATTAAATTTAACATCTTAGCAACAAAGTTTTTTTTTATAAGATATAAAACATTGTGTAAAAATTTCTTTTCATAAAAATAAGTGTTTAAAAAAATTTAAAAAAAGTTAGAAAATTTTCTGAGGGCAATACTTCGGTATTCAAATGCCTGTCTCAGTTTCGTCTTTATAATTTGGCTATGCATTTATATCGTGATTCTCTTTTTCTAAAATATTCAAATTGGGTATAAAAGTAATTGGCATTAATGCGGCTTCAAAACGTATAGAAGACCGCCTCCGTGCCAATACACGTCTCGTTAGTGACATATTTCTCTCTTCAAACTTTTTCAAATACATACGACCGAGTCGAATTCTTTCATGCTCTGGTTCATGGCTATGTTGGCCAACCATTTCATTTACACACCTAATTAGGCCATTATTTTCATATGAAAGTGTAATATAACATTTACATGTCCGACAATTTAAACAATACCAATGATGGGAACGTCTTCTACATTTTTGATATATATAATTGTTAAACACCAAAAGTCTCCTTCCCTGTTTACTGGCAATGTATTCAAGGTAGCCATCTAAAAAGGAATGAAACGTGTTAGTGGTGGATATATAAACAAATACTATGGAACATTGCAATAAATTGAAGAAATCTAAAAAAATTGTTTTAATATTTTTTTATTTAAACAAATGTAATTTATTAAAAACGTTGTGAGAATACAATTGTGCCACACTATTTCAGGGTGTCTCATTACTGATGTCATTGTCGACGGGTTCTTGTTTTATTTGCAGTTCCTTGCAAGAAATATTGTCGTGCAACGTAGGATTTCCAATCAACGTGCTGGTCATGATTTGTCGGTAACATGAATTTTTGAGATTCGCTGCACCACTTCTTTTTCTCAGCATACCCAAATTTTGCAACGATTTTCTTCTTTGGCGGATTGTGTCATATTCACGTGCGTGATTATGTACCCCAGCCATACGAATATAATCACTACTGGAGATTGTTAGGCGTGCTGTGCAATGATATTTGGCAAAACGATAACAACGCCAATACTTTTCACGATTTTTACGATACAAATAATTGTCTAATATCAACAAGGGTGCACCACGAACACTATAGATGTATTTCAAAGCTGTAATTGCAATATAAAAAAAGGAAATTGTTTAAGAAAATGTATTAAATGCAAGAAAGAAGAGAATTTTAGAAAGCATCACTCCCCCAACGTTTAGAACTTGAATAATGTTTAACATATCCCACACCATATAAAACGTTTCCAATTTTATGCTTTTCCTCCTCTCATACATTCTCATGGCTTTAATAATACCAGTTCTTAAAATCGCATTGTTATTTTATTTTAGACTAATTCATGGCCATTATTTCAAACCTCTTAAAGTAAATGGTAACTTATAAAAAACATCAAAGTAATTTTATTTCAAAAAATAATATCGTTTTAAATATATATAAAAATCAACATATTCAAATTATTCTTCCTTCTTCGTCATAGCATCATCTATAAGTGTATCTTCATCATCAGCGTCAGTCATTGTTATTTCATTGGCTGTGAATTTTTCCAAATTTATTTCGTTATTCGAAATAGCCTGTCTCAGTTTTCGCCCCTTGGCAATTTTTTTCAAATCCACATCATGTGAATGATATCCAACAAACTTTGTTATTCTGCCATTGGAGATAGTGAGACGAGCCGAGCATTTGAGTGAGTTGTCATTTATGCAACGCCAATATTTGCCACGATTTTTGCGATAAACAAAATTATGGTAAACTATTAACGGATGACCTCGTTGGCTGTAAATAATTTCCAATCGATCAACTGTAATTAAAGGTTTATTTTATGAAATTATTGTTAGTTAAAAAGTTAAAATCGCTGTTAAGCTGACCTGAAATTTTTTCTAAAAGACGATAATCCAAAAATACTTTACTACCATTTCTACTTAAATACAAATAGAATCAAAGTCAATATAATAAAGTATTTTTTATTAAATAAATTGTTCAGTCGTCTATTAGAATTCTTTTTTTATATGGTTTTCAGTCTCAATTATCATATTTTTTATTTCTTTCAAATCTTGTTGGTGTCTGGACCTGATTTCTTCAATTTTTATGGCCTTTCTCACTGTTCGCCCTTTTTCAATTCTTTTCAAATCCACATCGTGTAAATGATATCCATCAAATTTGGTTATGGTACCATTGGAGACTATCAGCCGGGCTGTGCATTTGTGTGTGGCGGCTTTCACACAACGCCAGTAATTCCGACGATTTTTGCGATAAACAAAATTATTTAAAATAATTAAAGGATGACCACGTTGACTGTAAATAAAATCCAATCCTTCGACTGTAATGAGAGGTTTATTTTATGAAAATATTATTAGCCATGAAGAGGGATTGGTTTTGACAATTTACAATGGTATATTAAAAGATCATTCACAATAACTTTGTCATATTTTATATTAATTTTACAGATGGGATTAAGTGTATCAAATCAACAATTTTTATATACAAACTAGGCTAAAGTACATATATAAATAATATTTAAAGAATATAGATAATTTATTTAAGCTTTAATTAACAATCAGCCTCTCCTAACGGCTCACTTTTAATCTCTACATTTTCCACATTGTATGTGATGTTTGGTTCGTGCTGCTGTTGTGGTTGGTGGTGGGGACCAACGCCTGTTGATATTGACGGCCCTGAGTTAACCATATTTAATGTATCCGTAGTATAGCCATGTCGCTGCATAGATTCATGGTTTGTTGATGCAACCATTTGCATTGAATTTGCATTATTTGTCGCATTGGGACACGTATCATTGCGTAGTAAAGATTCCAGGGTCGACGGACCGATATTTTGTTGCTGTAACATACCCCCTGCAGAGCCTGGAACACCTGGCCATGGCGTATGGTGATCATTCCGCAATATGCTTTCAAATGACATCGCATGTCCACCTAAACCAACAGCTGGCACATCGGGTGTGGAGTTCACATACCATGGCCGGGATGGATTGGAATACATTGACGATTCCATGCATGTTGGATCTGTGACCGAGGAATGTTCCGGCTTTTTAAGAAGTTTTGGGTCTTTTGTCGTATTAAATATGGCTTGTTTATGCCTCTTGACCCGTAAAATTTCCTCACACTCCCTTTCGTGATTGTGAAATCCAATAGCCTTTTGAATGCGACCATTCGTTATAATCAAAGTAGCCTTGCAATTGTAACGGGAGGCGCGCAAACAGCGCCAATATTTTGTGCGATTCCTGTTGTAGAGATAATCATTGAAAACTACTCTCGGATGACCACGTTGATTGAAGATGTATTCAACGTTGTAGTAATCTGTAATAGCAGTTAAAAACATAATGGTAATGTTACAATGTACAGTTGTTGAATGTTTTTTGATTGACCTATTTGAAATTTTTTTTTTGGAAAGTAAACAAATTGATTATTTGTGTGTTTTAAATTTTTTATTAGAATATTATATATTTAGTTATTAATAAATCGTACACAATTATGTCCATTTGTTGAAGCTGAAATTGTATTCGGATATGGCAAAAAGAATTATATTAACATATTGGTTTCGTGGTAACATATTTAAAATCTTGCAGGTTCTGGAACAAAAATAATATATAAAATTTGTCTCCATCCTCAATAAAGTTCCTTTGCCAAAGTTGGTTAAGATCAGTTGGTGTAGATTTATTTTTAGTCTTATATCAGTTTTGTTCAGTAAAATATTTATCGATCGTGCTTTTCGTATTTTAACACATAAATATAATTCTTTATTGATATTACACTTCAAGTCTTTTAACTATAAAGACTATTTTCATTTTCTACTTATAGAAATATATAATATATAAATTTTAATTTAATTAATTTAATTTTAATTAATATTTTAAATAAATTATTCAATATTTTTGTAAGCAAAACCAGTAAAATAGTATCTGTCGATTTTGCCGATAGATTTATACCCCAGCCCACATTTATTTAAAATGTTCACCCTTTATGGGGGAGGTTCCGAAGCAGTTGGCCAACATTGACCAATTCCTTTCTTACCTAAGACTGATATAAATATTACAACGTGACAGATTTGGACTACATCGACTACTCCATGTTCTTTATATGAGATTCGTGCAACATTTTGGGAAAATGTGGAAATATGCGTGAGGTGTCAGATATAACGGATATACAGATATATCCAATTTTATGGGAAATCATAAATTACATATTCATATCAGATTTATGGTTAAGAGAAATATTTAGATATATAACAAGTTGTAAAGAATCGCCGACTTGTTTCGCAAGTTATGACAGGTATAAGTATTGGAAATTGTGACCCTCTGTGGTATCATCTTCACAACATATCTTTTGTTACCAAAAATGCTTGTATGAGGGAAATTTGAGGAGATGGATCGATAGATTTGGGAGCTTATTTCGCTTTCTTTGAGCGTTTTGTTTTTCAAAATCTTAAAACCTATGTGGGGAAGGTACCAGAAGAAATGGTGCGATCTCTACCATCTTTATAGCGGATCTTGTGTTGACGGAAATATTGAGATGTGCCAAGTCTGAATGGAATCGAATGATAATTTCTGTGTTCTGTGAGCTTCATAAATATTCAAAAGTTTGACCTTTTGTTGGGGAGGTACCATAAGGAGTGGACCAATATTTTCCATCTTCACACCTTTAGTAAATAAAAATAATGTGATGTGTGTAATTTATAGAGAATAGGATGTGTTTTTTTTTTTGTGATCTTATGATCGTTTTGGTTATTTAAAATGTTAACCTTTGTGGGGGAGGTACTAGAAGGAATAGTCCGATCTCATTCAGCTTTATAAGAGATCTGGTGTTGATGGGAATATTGGGATGTGCCTCTTCTGAATGGAATCTGATGTTAATTTCGTGTTCTGTGAACTTCATAAATATTCAAAATTTTGACTCTTTGTGGGAGAGGTACCAGAAGGAGTGGACCGATAAGTTCCATCTTTACACCAGACCTTTAGTTGATATGTGTAATTTTAAAACAATCGGACTCTTACTTCACATTTCATAAGAATTATAATTATTAAAAACTTTGACACTTTGTGGGGCAGGTACTTGATGGAGTGGACCGATATTGTCCATTTTCTCACCTGACCTAGAACTGATTTGCAAAGTTGGGACATATTCGGATTGTCCTTTCTTTCTCTGTGCAGTAAATTATTTCTATTAATAATGTTGACCTTTTATAGGGTAGGTACCTGAAGTAGAGGATCGATATTGCCCATCTCGGAACTTGATCTAAGTTTGACAATAATATTACGATGTACCAAGTTTTGATCAAATCGGGTACTCCCTTCGGGAATTATCGTGGGCCAGACAGACAGACGGACGGACATCGCTAGATCAACTCCAAATGTCCTGAAACAGATTTGTCCAAAGAGACCTTTTGTCTAAAATCGTTATTTCGATGACGCACGTTTTGGCCGTATCAAATGATATATGCCCTCCGTGGGTATAAAAATGGATCTGATTATTTTATCCCTCTTTTATTTATTTTATTTTATTTATTTACGACATAAGGGATGTGGCCATCGAAATTTAGATTACTGTCCATGGTGACTTCACATAAGTAACGTTTGCTTTCCACTCAATATTTTCTTCTTCATCGTGAAAAATAGAATAAGGTCGTCTAAGTTCGACATGTCTCAGTAGTCTTCTTTTTTTATATATTTAAATCAAATAAGAATTTGTATAACAAAATGTAAGGAAATATGCTAACATTGGTTAGGAAAACAATCGAAGAGTCTTGACAATTTGGAAAGCAATCAGATTTTATCGCCATACACCTAGATAATATGGGTATCGCTCGTAGGTTATTGCCAACACTTTTCAAAAATAACGTAAAATGATTTTTATAGCTTGTGCGGATGAAATGTATCATTTACACCTAACTTTCAACATTACTGGAAATAGGTGGCCTCCAGGTCGAGATTTGAGATTTTCACTAAAGTAGTGGCACAAACCTCAGCGAAGCGTACAATTTTTTTGTTGATATTGCAGGATTATGGCATTCACCCGGACTTCGGCCATACATTTAGAACTTTCTCACATAGACAGACATAACACTATACATTGTTGTTGTTGTAACAGTGAAATGTATGCTCTGTTAATCCGGTTCTTCTTGGATGTCCAGGTTTAGGAATTCTGCTACCATTATGGGCTGTAGCCAAAGATCCTCTGAACGAAGTTGCGTAAGCTTAGCAGGACAATTGAATAGTTAACTACGTCGGTGACTGCATTAGTATCAATGATATTGAGACTTGCTTGATAGGTTTCATGATCTAGAGACTCTCTCATATATCGCTAGACCTCTCTCTCTAGATCATGCAGGTCCTTGCTGACACGCCTTGTTGGGAGAGTTCTGTCCACCATATGGTGGTTAGGATGACTCCCACTATAACACACAAGCAGGTACTGCAACGAAGAATATGATTATGCTGACGTAAGGAAAGAACCTCCGTCTCCTCATGTAAATGGTCCACAGGAGTCATGAGGAGGCACCCTGTTGCAGTTCTCAGGCCGGCATTCTGGCAGGTCTGAATATTTTTCCACTGTGTTGCACTCGTATTCGCAGACCACACTGGACCACAGATACCACACTAGGAGGTCAACAAGGTCTCCTTTTCCGCGCACCAAGTGCTGCCGGTCGAATGAGCCTTTGTTCGGATAGAACAATCGGTTACTCGAACAAAATTCATTTAAATTGGTTTGAGAAAGAAAACTAAAATCTATCCTAAGTTGGCCATTATAACTTTTAAGACTGACAATGGAACTATTTTCCCAGTATGGTCGAAAAGTATGGAGCAATAGCTTTTAAATTACGTCGATATTGGTGGATACCTATTAACCAATAAATCTGAAAAGTTCAAGATCTATATTTGGTTCCATTTTATATATCGTTGATATCAATAGAACATTGACAACCTATGGCAAACGACTTGTGGGCTGCCGCTAAGCGAAAATCCGGTCAATGCATTGTTAATGGGACATAATCTTGTACCCTATTTCATCTCATCGAGTTATGGCATCAATGTTTTATTTAAGGAATCCACTACTCTATTTATAAGAGGAAATTTATAACAAAAAAATATTAATAAGTCCACATTTGTTTCAAATTGTACCCAAGGAATTAATCACTTACCCCTAAAAGTCCTATAAGTATTTGTTTGCCAAAAAACACGTCGCTTACATGGCAAAGCAACACAATATTTTGCTTGTCATACATTTCTTCACAATATTTTTTAATAATTTCGTTTCATTATATTCGGCATTTTTATTTGCCCACCAACATCAACACAAATTGTAAACAACGCTTTGATGTTTTGTTATGAAGTCGTCGACAGAGTAGACAACATTACTCTTTTACAATTTCTTGGATCACAATACAACAAACAAACACATTTACATAAAATTCCATAATTCAATCAAATACTTCCAAAATATTCCATATAATTGACTATTTGCTTATTTTTTCACAAGGAATTTATATATATTTTTCTTAATTTTCAGCAGGCACTTAGCGTTTTGACAAAATTATTCAATGAACGGCCACAAACATTTTTTTAGCATTCGATATGTATGTATGCATGTGTGTATAATTTCTAGGAACTTTTCGAACTTTTAAATACAATACACTTTTAAATACACTTTTTTCACTATTAACTCACATTATGGAATGCTTTTCAATAAATATTCAATTTTTTGAGGATTTAAATAACTACAAAAAGGACAACAGGGACGCCGAGGAAAAAAATAGATTTTTATAGCACGAAAATAAAAAACTCAACTAGGGATATGTAAATCGATTTGCGTGTTGACGACATTTGGTGTTGAAAATGTGGCCACTCAATTCTCTCATTAATCAGTCAACCACTAAAATGTTTTTGGTTGCTGGTTATTGGTTTGTTGTGTTTGCTCTTTTACGAAAAACGATTAAAAAATCCCTATGTAGCTGCAACTCAAAGAACAATGGGGCGCAGGGTAAATTGTGGATCGAAATTGAACTTAGTCAACCTATAACTGCAATTACATAGGATTTATTTTAGTGGCTTAACTCTATGTTCTTTTACGAAAAAGCCAGCCAATGACTTAAGGTGGGAATACATACAACGCTTATCTGACTAGCTTAAGTCATCGGCTGCCTTCTTCGGAAATGAACAAAGGAGCCTAGGGCCAAAATCGAACTAAGACAACCTAAAACTACTTTGTTCATCTACGAAGAAGCCAGCCGATGACTTGAGCCGGCCAAATACGCGCTTTATGTATTTCTAGCCTTAAGCCAGTAAAAAACATTTTCTTCCTGGTTTTGCGAAGAATCCAGCCGATGACATTAAACGCTTTTTTGACTGACTTCAGTCATCGGCTGGCTTCTTCGTAAAATAACAAAGGTTTCTTGAGTTGACTTATTTCAATTTCGGGACGTAAATTATATTTGTTCACTCCACGCTCCTTTCTTCTTTTGCAAAAAAGCCAGCCGATGATCTAAGCCAATCAAAAAGACGCTTTATTTATTCTCAACTTGAGATTTTTTTTAGTTTTTTTTTTTTTTTGTAAAAGAACAAACTTAGTCCAAAAATAAAACATTCACTCTCCTTTTTAAAAATAAGTTCAGCCCATGGTTCAGCCAATCTTAACATTGTTCAACATTAAAAATGTTTACTTTCGACGTAACATTCACAACGAACAAAATTATCTAAATAACCATGTCAGTAAATCTAGTTTGCTTTTCTTCGTTTGAACGTTGTGTGTAGCCAAAGGCTATAGCTTTCCATTGCATTTACGCCATTGAATTTTCAAATGCAGCCAACGTACTCTTTAAAATTGTAAATGATTAACAATATGGCGACCCAATTGACATTTGTTGCCCATTAAGAAAATCCTAAAATATTAGAAAGTGCGACTTGATATATTTTGTATAATTTTATATATTTTTTCTGCAAATTCCATCATAGTTTTCAAGTAATTTAGAAGATTGGCGTCAACGTGGAAATATTATTATGATTTTTGTTTAAATAAAATGTTTTAAATTACCTTTTTTGTTGTTTTATTTCTTATTTCTTTTCAATTGGATATGTTTGAGATGTTCCTTTATTATTAATAATTCATTTGGTTTTCTTACAGCTAAGAAAAATGAGCCAAAAAACAAACCTGGAAGGGGTCGCCCGAAGAAAGGTGCGCAGGAAGCCAACAAGCAACCTCCAAAAATTATATACAAGATAATGGAAGCAATAAACAATAATCCGGGTCAGCCAATTCTGTATGCTTCCACAACTAAGGGCACCATGAAACTTGTTGTAGATGGTCATCATTTCCGCTATTCATTCCGCAAAGGAAAGTACACTATATTCCAGTGTTGTTATAAGGAGAACAGAGAAGAGTGTAATGTCCGTGTTGTGACTGATCAGAAGTTGGTATATCCCCTAGATGGCGAGCATGTCCATTTCATTCAGGCCACCGACAAAAGTGTGACATCTTTGAAATTTTCTCCCGGCACTGATATAGATTTGGAAGTTGCTAATGAGCCTGAACCAACAGTTGTTGATGAGGCGGAGCAACAAATTTCCAGTGAAGCCCAAGAGGTATTAGATGAGGTTACTCCAACTACTGTGGAAAATGTTGTAACTCAGCCGAAAGAAATAAATGTGAAGTTAGAAAAAGGCGTGTCTCAAGAGCAAATGGAGTTTACCAACGACGTTCCAGCAACAGCAGCTGCCGAAGATCCCAACGAATTCAGGGAGAAAATTAAAAAACGTTTGCAAAGGGCTTTGCTTGGCAAGAAGAAATAATTTTGTATCAATTTATTCACCTAATTTACATATTTAAGTAAATATCCATATATATTTTATATGCATACATATTATTTTAACTGAGAACAATGGACAATAAACAAATACATAAATATTTTCAATTTTTACATTTGCAATGGTCGGAGCGGTCTTTAAAATCGTTTTAATTTTTTAGAGAAATAAAATATTTTATTTCCATATTGTTTTATTTATTTTTAACATGTACTTGCAGTTATGCAGCACGTACGGAATTGTGGCGAACAAATCTTCATAATTTCTAGGAAAGGTGGAACTCTATTGGCCATCAACGATTTTATATACCGATCCAATTTAAAGCGCTTCGGTGTCAATTCCGACAAAGTGTACTGGGAGTGTATTCACAATCGTTCCAAGAAATGCCGTAGCAGATTGAAGACCATCGGTGACGATTTATATGTTACCAACGGTTGGTATTGTGTCTAGCACCTGGTTGATATGTATCAAGAGCTCTTTTATTTTTTCTCATTTTAGATGTTCACAATCACGCAGGCGATCGCCAGCGAATAGAATTAGCTAATAAATCAGGAATTTTGATACGTAAAAAGTTCAGTGCAATTGGATTACCTGCCTATACAAACAATAAACCTATATACCAATGAACACATTTATTACTCGGTGTTTACATGAATAACGATTTTTGAAACCAAACTGATTGAGTAAAAGAACAGGTGTATGCCATCTCTGTCACTTAAGGGAAGCAACTAGACTTGCTGTTATATCTCATTCCAGTTACATATTCAACTAGGTTTTTTTTATCAGCGTTAACTGTGGTAATGTTGGCGCCACTGTTTCCATAGGGTGAAGTTTTGAACGAGCTTAAAGACGGTAAACTTCTAAAATGTCAGTTGCTTTTCCTCGTGTTCCAGAACAAATTATTGTTAACAATACATGGAGTAACATGCGTGTGCAAATCGAAGGCTCATGCAATAATTTGCAAGTACAGAGTAACGTTTTTAAAGATTCTTAAACAGATTTAAGTCTTCCAAGTGTCAAGTGATCGATTGAAGTCTGTTGGTTTCCGTATACTCAAATGAAATACAACGACCGTTTTTATATTAAATTAAGAATTCACAAACGTTTATTAAAATCAATTATACGAGCTTAAACTAGTACGCCTTGTCAGGTTGGCTTCGTATCTTCAACTCTTTTACATTTTAAAAATTCAGGGTTGTATCCGGGTTGCATGTAATCGTATATTTTCACATGTATGCAACAAAAGGTATCTACTACTACTTTTAACTTGACAACTCGGCCTTTCCTGACCTGAAGTCGTCCTCGGCTTCATCTTCGCTTGAAACATCCAATTCGGGGGAACATTCACACCATTTCTTCAACTTGTCGGAACTGAATACGGAACAGAATTTCCTATTCGTGATGTTTATTCCAGGAATGTCCTCTATCAGGTACCTGTCGTTGCCCAATACTCGTGCTATTATGTATGGACCTTTGTATTTAGGTTCTAACTTCCGGGATTCACCTGTCGCTGGTGGTTCATTCTGTATAAGGATCAAGTCACCTTCCACATACAATTTCGGATTCGAATGCTTGCTGTCAAATCTTTTCTTCCATCGTTCTCGTTCGCTTTTGATGTTTTCTGCGGCCATGATACGTTTTTCGTTGATGGAAATTTCTTCGTTTTGTACATCATCTTGTACAGCTGCTAACAATCGGTTTTGTATTAAGTCGGTGGGCTTGTAATCGAAAATCAACTCATTCGGACTGTAACCTGTTGTCGAATTTTTGGTTGAATTGATTGACCATTGTAAAACGTGAAGTGCCGAGTCCCAATCCTTCGGTTCTTCAGTGGTAGTTCGTAAATAAGACAGGATAAGTTGATTGACCCTCTCAACTTGTCCATTGGCTCTTGGTGTACGAACGGCATTCTTAATGTGTTGAATATTGTTTCGATCGCAATATTCCTCAAACATTTTTGACGTAAAAGCTGTCCCACGGTCCGAAATTATTCTTCGAGGTAAACCAAAGTATCCACTAACCTCATTTAAAACGTTGATGACGGGCAATGTCTTCGTATTCCTTACAGCTTTAATAACCACAAATTTCGTAAAGGAATCGGCGATTGCCACTATATGTGTATGACCATGCTTGCTTCTTATAAACGGTCCCAAGTGATCAATATGTACTTGCCTAAATGGTAGCGGTTCGACATTACTAAAATGTAGAGCTCCTTCGTGTTTACCACCTTTTGCCTTGTTGTAGCAACACTCTACACACGCTGCAATGTACTCCTTCATATATTTCCTCATGCGGGGGAACCAAAACGTTTGTTCGACTCGTGAGAGGCTTTTCTCCAACCCGTAATGGCCAATATCATCATGACAGTATTTAGCTATGCGCCATCGTATAGCCTTCGGTATGACCAATCGTAGTCCATTTTTCGTTTTCCGGTATAGTCGATGTTTTTCCAATAAGTATTCAGATTTTATCTGTTTCTCTTGCTCAGATTTCAATTCATTTCGCAGTACTCTCATAATATTCTTTATGTGGTCGTCGTTTAGCTGCATCGTGAGAATCCAATCATCGCTATCAATATTCATTATGAACCCTGCTGGTTCAATCTCCGTCTGTGGCTGATCCGGTGAACGGCTGAGAGCATCAACGTGAGCCATACGTGACCCTTGTCGGTGTACATACTCACAATCAAATTCAAGTAATTTCATCAGCCATCGTGCTACTCGAGGTTGTAATTCCTTCGTTGTCTTCACATTAGTAATTGCGGCACAATCAGTGACGATTCGGAATGGCTTTCCAAGTAAATATATACGGAAACGCTGCACCGTTTCAACCACAGCTAAAACTTCCAGCTCGTAACTGTGATATTTCGATTCCGTTTCAGAACAGTGGCGGCTAAAATAAAACACTGGTTGCCAATTACCATTACCATCGGACTGTAATAACACTCCTGCTAATCCGAGACTGCTAGCGTCCGTGTGCACCTCGTGATCTGCTTTCATATCGTAGATTGCTAAAACTGGTTCACTACACAAAATTTGGATTAAACTTCTGAATGCGTTTTCATGGTGTACGTCCCAACGAAATTTATTCTCTTCGCTCTTTCGTGTCAACATCGCAAGAGGTTTCGTAATGGCTGCATAATCCTTTACAAATTTTCGGAAGAAGTTAGTTAGGCCAAGGAATCGTCGTACTTCTGTTACATTCGTTGGTACCTTAAAATTTCTAATCGCTTTTACTTTTTCTTCTCCAGGTAAAATTCCGTCACGTGTAACTATGTGTCCCAAATAAGAAATCTTTTCGGCTAGGAACGAACATTTCGCCAATCGTAACGTGAGACCACATTTCTTAAGGATATCCAAAAATCTTTTTATTCGGTCCAGACCTTCATCGACTGTTTTACTGGGAATTATGACGTCATCCAGATACGCTAAAACTTCTCCTGGTTTCATAAAGCTTATAACTCGGTTCATCGTTGCCTGAAAAACTGCAGGTGCGTTTACCAAACCAAATGGCATCCGGTTGAATTCATAATGACCATCTGAAGTCACGAAAGCTGTGAACTTTTTCGATTCTTCCTCTACTTCAATTTGGTGGTAACCCATACGTAAGTCGAGTGTGGTGAAATAACGATTTCCGGCGAGTTGTGCAATCTGTTCATCCAGTACAGGCATAGGATGCGCTATACGTACGGTTATTCGATTCAACTGTCTATAATCTATACATAAACGGTGTTCACCATTTCTCTTCTCGACCAAAACAATTCCCGATGCATACGGAGAATTCGATTTCCTTATGATTTCGTTATCCAGTAAGTCTTTCACAATATTTGCCACAATAGGACGTTTGGCAAATGCTAGTCGATATGGCTTGCATCGTATTGGTTCTGGAGTAGTAACTTCGATTTCCATCTTCACTAAGTTACACTTACCCAATTCGCTTGACTTTTCTGAAAAACATTGTCGGTTTTCTTGAATGTTCAACTGCAACTTCTTATGCTCTTCAGATGTTAAGCCTTCGTTGATACTAATCGCATTTACGTTTTGCATCCAACACTCATCTCCTTCAATAATGGTGCGTCGACCTTTTTGGCATAAAACATCTCGACCTAAAAGAACATCATTCGGGATCATAGAATTTTCCACAACATAAAGGTTCACGTCGTAACTCGTCTCATCAATGTCAATTGGCACTTTAACCACCTTTGTGCACTCGTATTTGCCACCAGCAAAGCCATTTAAAACCATACTGCAATTTTCCGTTTCGCCAATTATCATTGCAAAACTTCGTCTGATCAGACTCCGATCACTTCCCGAATCAATAAATGCCTCAAACTCCTTGTCCTTTACTTTGACACGTTTACATAGTATTTCGTTGGACTTTACGCTGTCCCTTATATTGTTGACATTTGTGTTCAGGGTTTTTGTTGGACATTCACTTGCACCGTGTGAAGTCCGTTTGCATATCGTACATCTATTCTTCTTCTGTGGATCTGGGCAGTCTACGGCTTTGTGACCAGTATTACCACAATTAAAACATTTGAATTTATTCACTCTTTCATCGCTTTTCCTTTCTGGGGCAGTTCTATTTTCATTGCTACGTTTCGTCTTATTCGATATCGGGTTCAGCACTCTTCTTACCTCGTTATAACTACAGTATGCGTTGATGTCACTCAAAAGTTGATTACAGGTAATATACTCGTTAGATATTTTCTGCTTCAATCCTTGATCATTAATTCCGTTGACTATATGCCGTGCTATGGATGATTCATTTATATTGCCCCGTTTTCCAATAGCATACATTCTGTAATAATATTCCTGCGGCGTTTCGTCGAACTGCCGTTTTGTCTGTGCCATTCTAATGTGTACATCGGCTGCATTTACATTTTGAGGGAAATCTAAAAGAAATTTGTTAACAAACTGAGGCCAAGACAGAAATACCTCTTGCAGTGAGTCAACCCAATACTTGGCTGGGCCAGCCATTTTCTGTTGCACTGCAAATATAACTGATGCGTCGTCCCAGTTATAAGCTGTCTTCAATAATTCCACACGTCGCACGAATTGTGAAGGATTAATCGATTCTTCAGATGACGGATTAAACTCTGGCAAAAGTTGAATTATTTCCTTAACGTTCCCAAAGGGGTTGTGCTGAACATAACGTTGTGAAGGCTGCATAACTATTTCTGACTGCGGCGGCGCTGAATAGACACTTGTTGCAAATATCGGCGGTTGTAGATATGCGTTGTAGGGCTGCGTTGATTGAACATATCCATTGTTCGGCTGCGTGAACACTCCTGTCGGTGTTGCTGTTGTAAAATTCGAATGTGTCGTTATATGTGTTGGTACGTTGTAGCATGACGTCGCTACATTTTGCGTTGTATTTCGTGGAAGTTGAGCATGTCCGTGCAATGAAGGTGTAAACGTTGGTAAACCAGCAGAAGCACACGTGTGGACCGTTGGAATTGTTGACGTAGTCTGAAATGCACCAAAAGAAGTATTCGTTTGAACATACGATGGAATCGAACGTGATTCCGGTAATATTGTCACAACGTTTGCCACGTTTGGCAAGCTAGGCCGTGTGCCTTGCAGGGACATATTACCATCCGGTGTCGAAAACGTGTTCAAAGGGGATGATGCGTTGTTCGGCTCAAATTCTGATTGTCCACGTTGCTCCATAGATGAACGCAATTCAGTTACCATATCTTCCAAATGCGAAATTCGCTCCTGCATATCATGAGGAGATGCGAATCCGTGCAGCTCGCTTTCGTTGTTGACTTCAAGTCGTTCGATCAATTGCTTTTTGTTACCACTTTGAGAAACACCAATTTCTCTGCATTTCGCTTGCAACTGCTTAACCGTGCATTTGTGCAAATTCTCCATATTTCTTGTTGGTAGACGCTTCTTCCAATAAGACTTGTCGTATCCCACTTCTGAGAAAAATGTCAAGTGATCGATTGAAGTCTGTTGGTTTCCGTATACTCAAATGAAATACAACGACCGTTTTTATATTAAATTAAGAATTCACAAACGTTTATTAAAATCAATTATACGAGCTTAAACTAGTACGCCTTGTCAGGTTGGCTTCGTATCTTCAACTCTTTTACATTTTAAAAATTCAGGGTTGTATCCGGGTTGCATGTAATCGTATATTTTCACATGTATGCAACAAAAGGTATCTACTACTACTTTTAACTTGACACAAGTGTTATTAGTTAAATATTTTTTGAGCTTATTAATGAATATTATGAATTGAATATGGTCAAATGGCCCATGTAAAACATAATTTATTTAAGACATGAATTCGATTTATATTAATGTGTATGATATGGATGAGTTATTCGATATCTTATATCATTTCCTATTTGCTTGGTACATGCTCGAGCTTTACATAAATACTTTACATACATGGAACACCTCCAACTGGAGACATACGCTGATTTATTTTTTGGCTTTGTGTCGCAAACAAATGAGAAATTCTCAATCATCAGTAGAGGACGAGACTTTTTCGACAGTCCAAATTTAGCACACAGCTGGAAATTTGCTGATATCATTTCAGGAGAATGACAATGGAAAACCTTGGGCATTAATTTTTTGTCTGAAAAAAATAATCAAAACAGGAAAGTGAATTTTAATAAAAATGTCCTTTTGTTATTACAGTATACAAAAAATATTGGCAATACAATACAGAATTAATACAGGTCGTTTGTTGTTAATTTAAATTTATTTACAATAAAAATCTTACAAATATTTGAAAACTTACAAACAAATTTAAAATACTTTCTTAATTACTTTGTTATTATTATTTATTCTTAAAGTACTTTAACTCATTGCAAACAAGATTGTACAAGTAGGCTGTTATGTTTCTGGTAAATCTGATACACGACCTGAATTGTATCGAAATTTGCTATGGATGCTTGATTTAGATTACATTAAAACGGCTTGGGAAAGGGGAGAAAATATCAGATAAGTATATTATGATATATTTTATTAGCACGTTATACCTTATTCCCCAGAAACTATGTTAATTTGTTACTTATCCCGATATTATTTTAAACGAATTAAAATTGTTTTCTGAATTAAATATTTTCAACAAACGTGTTTTCTTATTTGTAAATTTGCGTGTCATAGAAAAAAAAACAGTTTGTCTTAACTAAACTTGCAAAACTACGTTATAGTAAATGCATGGCTATATGTTGCAGAAATATTTCATTTTCGTTTAAAGATGAAAACCTAGATTCAAATAATAAGTTTTTAAATTATGTTCTTTGTTAAAAGAATAAAAGTGCACACATACATATATTTTTAGATGCAAACCCTATTTTGAATTGAAAAAATAATGATGCCTAAAACTATGTGAACCTACATACGTCGTTATACCTAAAATTGTGTCAGATATTCTTACATGGAAGAGGATTCATGCTTGTAAACACTATTTGACGAATTACTGCTGGATTCTGTGGTAGATCTTCGCACATATTGGGCACTGGTAATAACATTTGTTGTTGATGTTACCGGCGTTGTTGGCGTCGATATTACTCGTTTCACTTCTTTAATATTTCCCGAATATGATAACACCAGAGGAAGAGGCCCACCTGTTGGAAAAGAACCTGGTGCGAATTTCAAGTCAGCCTGACTGAAGCAACTTAAACTCTTAGCTGAACAATACAGCTGACACGTTGCCAATATATCTTTGTGTCGGCGTTTAATATGACTCAAAAAGTTACCAGTCGATTTTGTGGTGCCAGAAATAATACCAAAACATGTTGTACAAGTGGCCTGTATGCCTCCGGGTGTTTTGGGATGGGGTTGTATGTTGTTATAGAATTTGCCATCCAAAATTTTGGGCAAGTTTTGTGGCTTGCGGAACTCCTCGTTTGCCGTGGGAGTTGTGACAACAGTCACTGTTTCTGTTGTTGATGCAGTTGTAGACGTAAAAGGCATACTCGTTTTACCTGTAAGACAAAGCACATAAAAGCATATTAGTAAAATATTGAATACTTTAAAGGTATTAAGTTGTAAGGTATAAAACAAATAATTTAATATGTTTGTAACTTTTTAACTGAATTCACATTTAATTCGATTTCATTTATTTTTACTTTGTACACTGATTTCATTGAATATTTAACTAAACTTAAATCTTATTAGCGCTACATAATTTAAAGAGATTGTATTCATAGGGTTTTTTTTTTGTTTCCTTTATTTCATATCGCCCAATAATCCAACCATTGTTCTCATATAGCCCACTTTGGTATCTTCTAGGAAATCTGGTGAAATCTCCACCAAACTATCAGCTTTCATTTCAGGCTCATGGGTGTGTGGCGAACCAGCTACCCGTATAGACACATCATCGTTAACTTTAGATGTCACAACTGTAGCTCGACATCCATATTTTACATAGCGGGAACAACGCCAAAATACGTTCTTGTGTGACTGACGATTCTCCACATATCGATAGCCATTATAAATCAACATTACTCGTCCGCGTTGTGTGGTCGAATACTGGATATACGTTGTGGCATTTTTTTCCTCAAATATGTATTTAAGTGCTGGAATTGAGAAAATTACAAAATACGTATTTAGCAAAAAACGTTTAACAATAGGCGAACATCAAACTAAAAAGAAAAATATTAAAAAAAATATTAACATATATTCGCTTAGCAAAGTTTATTTGGTGTTGAAAAATAACAAAAGAACAACATACTTATATGACTATTACACACAAATTAATAAGTAATGAAGTTTGAAATACATCATAAAATAAACATTTTATCAAGTTGCTGCTCCAGCATTCAAAGTTGACATATTGGAGATCTTTTGTTGTATAAAACGCAAAACCATGTTGTCATCTAGTTTCTCTCCACGCATTGAAAACACTTGTACCACATGAGCTGAAAAATTAAAATAAATACGAAATTGGAAAATTGACTAATTAAACTTGAGTGCTACAATTTAAAGGTTTGACACTTTTGCCACAGTCAGATCTTGCTTTTGTCCAAGAGCCGTCAGTCTGCCTTTATCAATTAAATAAGGCACAAAAATCACAACTCGTATTAGTTGAAGTGGTTTTCCACTTAAACATGACGCTTTACAAAAGTCAGGCCATTTGGATGTCTCCAACATTGTTTACTTACTTATTACAGAGTTCAAGAGGTCATCATCGAGCAATTTCAGGCGATCCTTAATACCCGTCCTGGCTACCCTTTCCAAATTCTCCAAGCCAAAAACCAATTCACTCAAACGAGATGTGTATATGCAGGCATTCGGTATGTAAATCTTCATCAAATCATTTTTAGATACATATACCCGACTACCAGCAAACAGTGGAACTTTACCGGAATCAATGTGTTTGGATTTTCTTGCTTTAGTAGATGCTGGAATAGCAATAGTTTTCGCGGCGGTTGTCGTTACTAGGACTAGAAAGAAAAAAGGCAAACGAATTAGAACTCTTCGAAGACGACGGTGGCATGATAAATGTTACAATTTTTAAATACATAAGAAAACACGTTTGGAGATTTATGTAATATAGTTTTTATTCGTACAATATAGGTTTCAGATATATTTGTTTAAATTTTTATTGCAGAAGTCAATGAGAACATAGCGTTGTTAAATATTTTCTACATTTTCTCTGGATATGTCAGCATTCTATCCTGGCACATAATAAACATATGTTACTTTGTATTGGTATTTATTTTTCACTGTTTGTTTGATACTTTTATGTTGGTATTCACTTTGGGATGGGCATGATTTATTGTTTTCATATATCGCTAGTTTAATTTTTAATAAATTCTCAGCATTTTTTGTTAGTAAATACGAATTTTAGCTCAGACGCACATTGACAAATGGATGACAATTGCTAGTTGACATTTGTTTGTAATAGATTTTTGTATATTGACATGCATTTGTAGGAGAATTCGATTGTTGACACAAACTTGTAAGAGAAATTTGTAATAGAGCAGTCTGGTAAAGAGATGGCATTTGAGAGAATATCTGTCGTGTTTGTATTGAAGAAAGTAAAACAAAATAAAAGATTTTTGCGGCCCACTGAAAGTGTAATATTTTATTTTATAAGTGTTTGGATCCGTTTCTTACAAAGAACCAAATCAAGTATATGTTTAATCATATTCTCAAATGCTTTTTATGTTATGGCTGCTTAGGCTGGTTTGTTTTCTGACGCTGTCAAATAATTTGTGATTATTTTGTGAATAGATTCCTAGTTCAAAGGAAACCACAAAGCTAAGCTAAAGTCCCTGTGATATGCAAAGATTGTGATTAAGTGAAGTGCTTTATATAAACTGAGATCAAAACAGTAGTGTGAATTCCGTTCCAGCGATACTGAAAGTAAGATGAACATGCCAAGCAAAGGAAAGATGTATGTGAACCCTAAATAGTGATATTGTTAAGAATCCAAGGTCCGACTTAGTGGAAATAAAACCATACAAAATTTTATTTGCATGTCAGAGTTTTATTGTAGCTATTTGGGATAAATATGGTTTAAATCAATCTTCAATAAATAGGGAAATGGGTATAAAAACAGATAGGTAATCCCAGAAGATATATATATCGTCATATTATTATGACCTATGCTATCCAAATCAAATTAAATCATATTTCATCTTTATATAGTAGTAGATGACAATATTATTATTATAATTAATCTATAAAAACAATCTAATTTTCTTTTAGATTGCGCGGTGCTTCATGTTGTTAAATTGGAAGACGTGAAGAAGGCTAGCTATGACCAACTACATGTAAGTTTTACTCGAAGTGTACGAGGCAATAATCTCCTTAATATCAATGGTAAAAATTATACATTGAATCGCCGAATAAAAGATGCTTGCTACTGGGAATGCGTCAAAGTCCGGTGTAAATATACAAAATGCACGGCTCGGGTTATAACTAAACAAAATCGAATTGCATCATTGCGTGGACATCACAATCACAGTTAAGGAAACGTATTCTCATCTAATTTTAAGAACTTTCACCATATACCTACATATATAATATTAACAGAACTGATACTCATTAATTTAAGAACACATTTATTCATTATATTAGTTGTATATTTTTTGTTATATGCATATAACAAACTTTTGTCGGAGATAATTTCTCAAGGCAATACATAGTTACCTATAGAAGTTAAGTGAAACCCCATATAGAATAATAAAATATTTTCTAAACCTTGTTCGCTTACTCTCACATATATTGTATATTTATTGCATCAATATCCTGGCAAGTTAGCTTAATGCTTTAAAATTTCAGATACCTTTTTAAAGGACAAAAATCCCAATCAATACGGAATTTGGCTAGACGATAAGCTAACATTTGTACGTAATCGACGCGGAGGTGTTAACTTGATATATAAAGGTTTCTCGTACACGGCCGAAAGAAAGTACAATCACACCATTAATTGGGTATGCAATAAATCAAGTCACACATCGCGTAAATGTCCGGCACGCTGTATTACATCGGGGAAAAATTCAATTAAATTTGGACGAAAAAAGCATAATCATGAAGCTGTTGTTTGAGAATAAAGTAAATATAAAAAATAAGGAAAGTTTTTCATTAGTATTTTTGATTCAAAAGTTGATTTGCGCCATATGTGTATAATATAAATAACAATGTGTAAAAGGGAATTCTATTAATGTGTATCATTTCACTTTTTCAGATCTTAAACGACATCGCAACAGTAGTTATACAATTATAAATAATTATCGCTTCGTTAGAAGTTCACAATCAGCCAATACATTTTATTTAAAGTGTGCAAATTTCCGCAAGTCTTGTCGAGCTCGAGCCATTATACGCAAGGATACATTGGAAGTTAAACTAAAAGATGGCAATCACACTTGCCAGCACCATCAACGCCACATTCATGCGAAAAAGGAAATTTTAGACTACAAAAACTTGCATTGAGCAACTAGCTTCTAATTTTAAGTTACACAACAAGTTTTTAAGCACCACAATAAAATAGGTTTTTATATATTAAATTGAGTTTTTGAGTGATTTCTATTGTTATTGTTTAATTTTTATTTTTCTATCGATGTTTACGTAATTAGCTTGTTTTTTATCTATTCTTTAATCTACAGGTATTACATTTCCAGCACGCTACATAATATCCAGACGTGGTACACAACTGGTGCTGTTTAGACACAATACATATACACCAAACTCAAAAATAAAACCCGAATCTCTGAAACGTGATTGGAAGTGTTCCATGTATCACAAGGCAAAATGCAAGGCTCGTTTGGTCACCAAATTTACATCTGCTGGCGATATAATACATGTAACATGTGCCATGCACTCTCACCCCCCTATGTATCCTCCAATGTTTTTCAAGCCACCGCAATAAGCAATAACAAATTAGTAACACAGTGAGTTGTACAAATAAGTAACATGTTTTGTGGAATATTAAACAAAAAAGCATTCCCCATAGGAGTATTAATATTTCTCAGGAAAATTTATTAGAACATTATTACCATAATAACATACATACATTTTCATACTTAATTTATTTTTGTGTATAAAAAATTTTGTTTTTAGAGAAAATTGTTAAAACATATTAATAAATATCCATTTGAGAACGTAAATTACATATATTATATATTTATTTTCATGGTATTTTCTGTGTAATATATTTATTTTTACAAATTAAAATATATTAATTATGTAGCGATCATCTTCCATACATATTTCTATTTTTATTTTTTGCAGATGTAAAGCAAATAAGAAGTTGCGGCAGGAAACAATCTCTGGCTGTAGTTAACATCGAAACCAAACCCTCATTGGCGGCTGCGATGCATACGAATTGTGAATTGGTATTTATTCCAGGCCAGAGGGGTAAAAACCTCTTACTCTATCAAAACTATACATATTCCAAGAATAATGGTTCGGGCTCAACCATCTACTGGAAATGTCGTACAGTTTGCAACGGCAAACCTTGCAATGCCCGTATTACAACATTCTTAAGGCCAAATGGTCTGTACAATGTATGCTTGACAAAACCCTGCCATAGCCATCCACCTTCCAACCGGCTCGCGAAGAAAATCAAAGGGAAATTTGAGGAATATGATATCAAATAATTATAGTATTTTTCTTAAGTTTATAATAAAGTATTACATTTTAACTCCACTTTAACAAAAGAGGTTGCTGTGTACACATGTATGTGTGTGCGTGAATAAATGGTTGTTGTTTTACTTTGTCTATCCATTCTAAGAGTTAAGTTTTAGTTAATCTTTTTTAATATTGCTTTTTGCTAAACAATATATTTCGTTTTTCTTTTTCTTTTCACCACACCAATTGTAGAAGAGGCAACAGTGGCTGTATACTCGGCGACATCAAGAGGACGCATACAATTGATATATGGCGGCCAACCGTTCATTTTTGAGAAGAAAATTAAATTGCCCACCAATGAAGAAAAGAAATATTGGCGCTGCAATCAGTGGTGGAATCAGTAAGTTGATACGCTATAACTATTCTAATTACAAAATGTAGAATCCTTTTGATGAGGTTTCGATAGTAGCTCATTGAAGAAGACAGGGTGATACTTCGATTGTCATCTTCAGAGATATTAGATTTAGGACAAATGTGTCAGTTTGACTTTGACATCTATGTTCAGTATGCTTGCCTTTACATTAATATTCCTTAAGATATTGTTGATGACAATCGAAATATCCTATGAATAAGGAGTTAAGAGACAAATCTTAAGTAACAATATGGAGGGTATATTAAGTTCTTCCTTCCGTTTGTAACTCATCGAAATAATAATTATAGACCCAACAAAGTACATATATTCTTGATAAACGTAGAATTCTAAGACGATTTAGCTCTGCCCCTCCATCTGTCTGTCCGGCTGACCGTCTGTTGTGATCACGCTAGAGTCAAAACAAATAAAGATAGGACGCTAAAGCTTTGCACTGATCTGTATTTTGTCTGCAAGCATGTCAAGTTTGAAGATGGGCTATATCGGTGGACGATATCGCATAGCCCCCATATAACAGCACCCCCGATATTCGACATTTCGATGACTTAAGCTATTTTTTTCAATGAGACTGTCTGAAAATCCACACAAGGAGTTTTTTCTGAGCAACTAACCCCTTGGAAGAGAATTGTCTATATAGGTCCACGATAACGTATAGCCCCCATGCAATGGTGCCCCGCAATATTGGAAATATTTTGTTTTTTTTTGCCACATTTTTCAATGGAATAGTCTGAAAATCCACACAAGGAGTTCTCTCAGAGTAATTTACCCCCTGAAAGAGAATTGTCTATATAGGTCTACGTTTTTTTATAGCGCCCATATAACGCTACCCCGAGATATTCGCTATTTCCAAGATTTTCGCGACATTATTCACCGGATTTGCGTCAAATTTTGAAGTTCGTAATGGGTACTACAACCTATAACGGAAAATTGTCTATGTAGGTCGACGTTTTAGTATAGCCCCCATACAACCGGTACCTCCCTTGATTTGGTATTTTGATGATATTAACGACATTATTTACCGGAATTGCGTCAAATTTCGAATTTGAAGTTCGGAATCGTTACTGCAGCCTATCACAAAAAATTACTTATCCAGCACCAAGTCTTCGTATAGCCCCATATAAAGGTTTTAATTTAAGCGGTGTTTTTCGAATGTTTTTTTTGGTTTTTGTGAAAATTTTCAAGTTCCTTTCGAATCGTGGAGGGTATAAATATTAAGCTGCTTCTTTACTTGTTTTGTTATTGTAAGAAGATTGAAGATTCGACAAGTCTGCTTAAGTCTGGAGAATTCCCCCATTGGCATTATTTCATATAAGTCACTATTACAAAAAAGCAATCTTTTTCAAAACGAAACTGCCTGCTTTGCAATACTTATTATAATATCATGATTTCATCTTGGCGAAGGGAATGGTCACATGGCTTTTTCAGCATTTTGATATGACGATTTTGGTGAAAGGCAAGCTCTATAAGTTTAGAGCATTCACAAGGAACAAGAATCACACTCTCTTCTTGTCTTTCCCAAAAATCATCACAACAAAATATTGCATTATTTTTGTATGTGGTTATACATGTTTATATCCTTGGATCGATTTGAAATCACTGAGATTTATTATTCTAATCATGAAAATTTTCTCAAATTTCTTTTACAGAAAATGCCGATCACGCGTTTGCACCATTAACGATATGGTTCTTCCACTCAATCGCTATCATACACACGAAGAGATTGTAAGGCGAAAGAAGCGAGTACGGAAAAATGTGGCAGGAAACAACAAGGCAAACAGCAAAGCAACAGGAGCCGACACAAGTGCTGGCGCTGCTGGTGGCAACAGCAGCATTGATACGCTCGGCATGCATTTGAAATATGAAGAAATTGTAGCCGATGTTACAGAAATGGTTGAACCTACGTCAATAATAATGACCAAGAAGTAGACAATTAATATTAAACTATAAAATATGCTCGTAGATGACAAAATAAAAACACTAAAATTAATCAATTTTATTAATAAATGCTTATTGTCAAGGTTTTAATTTGTATTAAATAAAAAAATAATGTAACAAATCTCGATTTTTCCCAATTTCAAAACAAAAAAGAAAAACTGCCTCCGTTTTAAATATTTCATAACAATATCAAGTAATTAATTTTTTTATTGTTTCCACCACAAAAAACAATACTTGTTTTTTATTTGCAGTCTATACATTTACCACCGGTCAACGCTCATCAATAAAATTGGTTTACAATGGCTACACCTTTGTCAAGTTCATGGAAAACTCTCGTGGCACAAAGTGGATTTGTGCTACACGTTCATCAACAAAATGTCGGGCTCGTGTTCGCACCACTCAAGATTCAAAATTGGAAATCTTATTTGGCGAACACAACCATGGTTTGAAACAAATGAAAACTAAACTTGAAGATAAGACTAGAATTGATAGGTTAATAGAAAATATGAAGCAAAATATTGATTAATATAGACATGATAAATAAACAACGGAATTTTAAATTAGTTTAACTTTTAAGAGATTAAAAAAATCATTTTCATTTATATCAAGAATATGAAATTAAGATTCATTACGCAATAAACTAAATAACATAGAATAAAACTCATTTAGCAACTAGGGCATTAGACATAACTTAAAAAAATTGTCACATGATATCATGGCGGGGTACTTATTCCTTATGCTTGGGATCAGTGCAGCATAACAACTAAAATAATTATGGCGTCCCAATTTATCCAATATATTGCTGGATATATATACCAAACTAAGAAAACATTCAAATTTTTATTTAAAAATGATGTAGCTATAAAAACATATGTTGAGATTATTTTTAAGAATATCATTTATTCAAATCAATATATCGAAATCTTTGTTTTTTTTTTATATACAATACACTGGAGTGTTATTAAAAAGGTTTTCAAAGCTATATTTCAATCAAAAAATGTAATAAATAGATTGTAGCCAAAAGATATTAAACCGGATGCATTTCATCAAAGCACATTTCACACATCCAACATCCACCGGGACACACAGTACAAAACGTAGTTACCTTTATAAGATCTTTCCTATTAACATCGGGTTTCTTCAGACAATAGACACACAAGCCCATGCATCGTTTACGTTTCACAACATTTAAACAGTGGCCATTCGAGGCTTGTTTTACAGTGGAATTGGGACTATTTAAATGTTTTTCCAATACACTCTTGTCCACGGGCTCCAGTATGGATTCATCCAACGATGTGTCACTTTTATTGGACAAATTGCCCGAAGTCACTACAGAAATTTTCGGAGGAGAAAATGCCTTTGGTGTTACCGTTTTGTTCGAATATTGGCGTTGCCTTTTCAATCCTTTGTTTATTAGAAAAGGTTTCGATTTAAGGGGAACAATTGAAACAATTTTACTCAATTTCAATACACCGGCTGAAAATATAACAAAATTTGAATTAGATAAATATTAGAAATACCTATTTTATAACAACTTAATATTAATTATAAAAGTCTATAATACTAATAATACATTAGAGCCATTTTTTAAAATATTAATTATGTTTATTTATCGAAGGATTTGAGGTACAAATGTTTTTTGTTTCTTTGCTTGGTGATTGTGTTGACTTTTAATACTCAATAAACTTTTATTTTTCGTTACCAATCGGGCCGAGCATTTACTTCGATGATATTCAACACAACGCCATTGAACAATACAAGATGTGGGAGTTCGGCGATAACTGGAGTATGCATATCCTTCGTACACCAAGTGACCACGATAGTTGTAGCTAAAGAATGGAGAATCTAAGAGAAATTTTCAGTTAATTGTCTTCGAGATATACTATTGTCAAGCAAGGAGAAATACGAGGTATTTTTTTTTTTTTTTTTGTTTATTCTGTGTTTTTATTTTGAGTTTTGGCTAGTTTTCTCTCTTCATAAACTCTTTTGAGTGATCCCTTTTTACGACGTTCAATTAAGATTTCATGATTGTGATCTTCTTCGACAATTGAAACACGATCACCGGAGGGATTGGTACGGACTCGTGCCCTACATCTAAAAAAGAAATAGAAATTGCCAGAAATAATTTTAATTACTAAAATATACCATCCACCCAATGCTTTTGACTTACTTCAAAGGCCGGAACTGAATACAACGCCAATAAATTGTATCACCACGTACTCGATGCCTTGTATAGGGGTATCCATCCAACACCAATTGATAAGTACCTTTCAGACTATTGCGGTATTTGACCCGATTTTGTTGCTCGGCTATGGGAATTTCGCAACCTAAAAACAGAGAACACAACACAATTTATTAATAACAAATACAACAAATGAATTTTGTAAAATATTTACCCAGAATGCAAATGAACGAATAATTTTTATGAGGGGGATTTTGTTAATTATTCTAAAATGTAATTTACATTGATAAGTTTTATTTAATAATCTAAGCATCATATACATTTGCACATGTAAAATGGTTGAGCTACATATAACTAAATATGTACGGGTTTTAAAAAATATTATTCATCACTGATTAACATTAGGGTTGATTGAGTTATTAGATGTTGTTCACTTGATTGGGACAAGTGGCGAGTTGGATGGGTATGCTGAGACGCGGACAGAGTTATGGGAGTCTCCTTTTGACAGTCAACAGATATTGTGCGTCTAGGTATTTTAATACGCGGCATCATGGTGGCATTGGTGAGGTGATGACCCATCGAACGATTACGATCCATCATTTTTGCAATTTTCTCGGTGTGAGGCGGATGATTGTGTTCTCCGCCGGACAAACATTTCAGGGTACCGTTTTCCAGAACACAACGTGAACGACAACGTTCCGATTTCATTTTTTTGGAATAGTTATGGCAGCGCCAATATTCCTTGTTGTTCTTGCGACTATGGCAATTGTACATGAAGTTGTTTAGCACCAGACATGGCGTCGCCCAAGGACTTTCAATGAAAACAAGTTTGGTATCTAAATATGGAATACAACGAGAAGAACAATAATAAAGTTAGGATTTGCATAGTATTAGTCATAAATGCTACATAGATCGAAACTAAATTCCTTCCATAAACATTTAGGGCCAAAAATGTCTATGAGTACTTTTGTGTACCGCAAATTGTGTTTTTTTTATTAAATTAAACATTCATTAAAGTTTCTTGACTCTCTAAAACTATTAAATAACTTTAAGGGTAATTGCTAATTAAAACATAGTCTAAACATGTTCCCGTTTAAAGAGGCGTGCTTTCATATCCAATGCAGGACATGGCGCCGGTACAAATAATTTAAAATCTTTGCCACTCTTTTGCGGTAATATATCGATGTTGGTCATTGTTATGAAATCATTTATATTTGTAGCATCTGGCTTTAGCTCGATGTAGTCTCCCAAGTCCTCTTCCTCATTGTAAAGCGGCCTTTGGTTGATTCTTTGCATGTGGTTCTCATGATTGTGTTCTCGTCTGGCAATGACTAGTTCGTTCTTTTTGGTAATGACCACAGCTTTGCAACGCATTTTCAGCACGTCTATGCAACGCCAGGTGGTATGTCCATTGGCCTGCGTAAGCTTTTTGTTATAAATGAAGCCATTGTAGACCAACTGGGCATTTTTCTTTTGACTTCGTATGAATTTGACGAAACCTGCAAAGTTAACAAAACAAACGAAACAATATGTGGGTATGTAATTATAAAAAAATCTTGTATATTCCATAAGTAGAGTATATCAGGCACTATTTTTAAATAAAACACGGCTTTAGTAGATTTTGACATTTATTCCTTTTTTTTCTGGTCCAAGAACTATTGCTAAAAAAATACAGATATTTAAGTTCAACGAAAGTTGTATGAAGTGGTCGATGAATCTTGATCACATTGATTTTTACTTCGATTTTAGTTCCACCATGATAGTATCACTTTGATTTTATGTAGACTTACCCCGAACAGGTCAAGAAGGAAGGATCAGAATTCTAATAAAACTTGGAAATTGCCGACGTTGAATTTTCACAATTAGAAAACAAACTTTCGGCGTATACTTGGGGGGGCAATGAAAATTTTATTATTCACTCCTGGCTGCTCGGTCACTTTCCTCTTTCACATAAGATATTTTCCAACAGAGCAATCAAGTCAGTGGAGCAGGTACACTCCTTAAAAGCTCGAGCCAACTCAAGTCTTCTATGCATATACACACAACAAAATTATCAAAAATATATCAATATAATTATGCACTGAGCAGGGAAGGATCCTCTCAAAACATTTACATTTCACAAATAATCAATGACAGATTCAAATATCTATAAGTCGACCGCCAGCCACGCACTGAGTTTCACTTATTAGGATACACTTTTCTTCTTAAACATATTGCATTTATTTAGAACAACCACAATTATTTTCAATGAAGAACAAAATAAACAACAAAATAAAATCTGTACTTTTCAGATGTCAAACATTTAATTGTAAGAGATTAAGAATATGTTAACATGCTCTATTACATTATGGTCTGCTCATTTCTTATGCATCGTTTATATCGCCAATGAAACACTTGTTTAACTACTATATCTAGAATACTGTCATGGTACAATAAGGAGGTAGAATAGCTTCGTAAAACTACAAAAATACAGCCCTGAGGCTATGCCCGCTTCTTGTTAGAATTATTCAAAATTATATGCAATAAGTTGTTTTCATTTATTTGATAGTTTTTGTTTATTTTACAAATGCGTCAAACAGCGCGAAAGATGAAGTAAATGCCTGGACGTTCTCTGAAAAATATGATCCTAAGTTTTCAATCTTTCAATTCCGTGCCAAATTTTTTTAATATCATTAGTGCGCACCCCACTATTTGTGTTTCTCCAATCATTGATTTAGAAAATATTTTGTTTTTATTTTTCAAAACAATAAATACATACACAAAATGTGCAGAAGTCGGCACACTTAGAAAAAAATTGTAATCAGCTGGTAGCTCTACCTTACCTTTTTATTGTACAATATTCCTTCAAAATGATATCTTTGATACCTCATTGTCAAAATGAATTTTCATAAATCCACTGTATAAATACAAATCCGAGATGGAATGCAACTCTGTGCAATACATATTCAAAATGTCTATGTTAATACACAAACAAATTTGCTGGCTCAAATTATCGGCCGGCTTTTTCGCAGTAGAACAAAGGGATTAGGTTGATCTAGTTTAAATGATTTCCCAAAAATTGTAAAATATTCAAGGTCAGCTGTAACCAAATTGCTCAAGAGATGTTTTCTTGTTAATTTCGCGTTTATTTTTTAATTTACAACTAGCTGCATTTGAAAAAATCCGGCATACAACACATACACTTGCAACTTTCTCTAACTTATCCTACCATGGGTCGCCAATAGATACCTGTGTATTTACAAAATACAGGTGAATAGAGTTGATGTATTAATAGTGAGTAGTTCCGACAACTGTAAAAGCTACTAAACTACTATACGTTTTCTTATTTTTCGGTCCTTATCCATTCAATCTATTTATTTTTCTAGTTAAATATATATTCCAATTTTAAGGTGGGAATACATAAAGCGCTTATTTGGCTGGCTTAAGTCATCGGCTGGTTTCTTCGGACATGAACAAAGGAGCCTAGGGTCAAAATCGAACTTACTAAACGTAAAACTCCTTTGCTCCTCTACGAAGAAGCCAGGCGGTGACTTAAGTCCCTCAAAAAAGCATTTTATGTATTCTCACCTTTATTTAAATTTGTAAAGGAACATTCAGCGTCTCTGTAAACCCTTTATGAAATGTCACAAAATATACCTAGCCATAACTTCAAGCTTCTTAAAGCTTGAACCCTTAAACCCTTTATTCAATTAAAAAGTATTTCATCTGCCCCTTTATGCCACTCACCTAGAGTCAAATAGAGTGATAAGTATAAATTGTGGATCAACATTGAACCGAGTCAACCTAAAACTCCTTTGTTCTATTACGAACCCAGTAAAAAGGTATACAGGTGAGATTATATAAAAAAAAAGCTTTTTTGACTGGATAATTCATTAGCTGGCTTCCTCGTATAGGAACGAAGGCGTTTTAGTCCGATGTTGGCCCTTGTACTTTTCCGAAGAAGCCAGACGATGATTAAATTAACTTAGTGAAATAAGCGTTTCATGTATTTTCACCTTAGGGTACCCTCTTAATTTCACCATGGACCATATCCTCTTTACGAAGTTCTTCGTTTCCTTTTTTTTGTCTATAGGATAAAATTTAACCTACCTATCAAAAATAGTTATACAAGGTGACAATGAACTGTCAAACCGATTTTAAAAATATTCAATGAAAAATTATTGAAAATGCATGTTATAACATCCTCCAATCTACGTCATATAAGTTAAAATATAGAAATGTGCTTATTTTGACATAACATTTGAAAATCAATGTTCCGAAGCGTTGATGCATCTACCTATATTCCTCTACCATGGTATGCACCAAGGTATAGTCATCCCGACAATTGTATCAAACCAGAGCAATGAAATGGTCTATGTAGTGATTACGAGAATAAGAATAGCAAAAATCTTATTCAGTTCAATGTTTTTTCTACAATTTTTATTTCTAAATTTAAAAACTTGCTTCTTGCACTCATAACCAATTTTTTTCATAATTTCATCAAAAAGCCGTCATTGCTACGCCGTTTTTGTTCAAAAATTGCCAGTACATGCAACTTTTTTTTTCTACAAACTTCGTAAAAATATCGTTCTAGCCGATCAACGCTAAAATATCAGACGATTTCAATCTAAAAATCAGTATTCGTCTCAGAATTAATTTCGATGTCAAATGAGTTCATAAGTAAATTTTGGCATACTACCCATCGATGTTTCCTTGAAGTATATCACCGCCGTCCATAGGTTAATTACAGCAGTTATAATCCACTATCGACCTATAAGATTCGGCAAAACTTGCCGTTGCATTCACGATGCAACATCTTTACATGAATACAAAAAACTTGAATTTTCTCATTGGGTAGATTTTTATTTTAAGTGGATTGAAAAATACTCGTGTGAATATTGTTTTTCAAAATTTTAGCATTGGTTTGAGTTCTATAAAATGATTAATAAATGTATAATTATTAAACAAATCGGAGAACAACCAAGTGTGTTGGAACCCAATTTTTCATACTAAGTACAAAAAAAGCGTGCATGAACCGAGATTACTCCGATATTCAAAACGTTTAAAGCGACCCATCGACTGAATTATCCGCACCGAACCGAACAAACTAACGACCGTACCGAAGAAAACTTAAGCTCCAACACACTATTTTTTTTTTCAACAATGATTATTTTCATATAAAAATGTCCGTTTTATAGAATTCAAAACAGTGCTCAAAAAATTTAAAACATATTTTAGAAAAATAAAAAATTGAATATTTTGGATGGGAGTTTTAGCAAATTCCATAATTTTGTCAGAATTGTTTTTATACTCACCGCTTATAAATATTGCAACATTACACAGAATTGTTTCTTTTTTTTAGTTTCACTTTAGAATCTAAAATGATCGCTGACATTTTAACGAAAATATGTCACTATCGATCTGATAATACGATTCATCATACTTATTTTGATTTTATATCCAGAGGTAAATTTCTTTTGGTTCAAAAGCTCCAAATAATGCCACAACAAAATGAAATTTGCGAAAAGGCCATTTCGGAAATTTGCATTTTGTTGTAAAATTATGCAAAGAACTTGTATGGAAAAAGAAAATTACGTGATTATTCTATTCAAAATAAGGACGATAAATTCAGGCAGTATCTTCATCCTTCTACAACTTATCAGTCAAACCGTCAAAATATGTTTTCAAAATAATGACATTTAAAAACAATTATGTCACTAGGTTTGACAGCAGAAGAAAGATAGATCTAGCCCCGTTGAAAAGTATACTTCGCGCACGTTGATACTTTTCTATTTTTAAACGCAATTTTATTAAAAACTAAATTGGTCAAACCGAACTTTATGTTTTAGTAACACCCATTTTTTCTTTTGAAGATGGCCGTGAACACGTCTCTCCCCAAAAAAGCAAAAACGTTGTAACTAAATCAAGTTCGCGAAAACCAATTTTAAGAGAGGGGATCAGAAGACCAGAGCGGAGATTGAAGGATAAATAAAAATATATTAGGGAGTATTTGCATCGCTTGGATCTTCCTGAATGATTCACCCCCTCTCCATTTCACTTAAAACTAAAAAAATTAGATGGGTTTAATATTTTAAAGATGCACACAAAGGTTTACGTTTTCCTGCCAAATCCACTGGCGACTGGCGCTCAAGTGATTTGAAGGAGAACATAGCTCCGTGTGTTTTTTAAGAAATGTCAACCAACCTTGTGCATCACTGTTTCCTTGATCTCCTGTTGTATCCATGTACGACGAGTCCGATAGAGGTTGTGATTTAACAATAGCCTTTGAAGTGGTAGCTGTGGCACCTGCATTCGTTGTTCCACCCGTCGACGCGTTACCACCAGTTGCAGCTCCATCTTCTCCCTCCGTGAAATAGCTTTCATCGTAACGCATATCACCATAAGACTCATCCTCCACGTAGTTACCATCTTGTTCACCTTGGTCCACATCGCCAGCATCTTCAACATAGTCCGGTTCAGATTTTGTCGGCAATTCTATGGGTAAGTCAATATATTCTGGTTCATTGCTCTGTTGCTGAGGCTGGGACTGTTGATGATGGTGATGGGATTGCGTTTGTTGTTGCTGCTGTTGGTGGTGATGTTGTTGGGCCTGCGATTTCGTTACATCGGACGTTACCAGAGTGCCTTGTACATTGATTTGTTGTGTTGCAACGCTGGCGTCGGTAGCCTCTAGGGGATCGATTGTGCTCTTGGTTCTTTTAATGTGCGGCACACTACCAAGATTTGTACGTTGGGCGGGTCTCTTATGTGATACTACGGCCGTTGTAGTTGTGGCCGTTGGTAAACTTACGCTGGTCAGTTGGTGAGTTTGCGTTTGCATTGGCTGTTGAATATGCTGTTGTTGGGGAGGCTGTTGCTGCTGCTGATGGTGGTGATGATGTTGCTGCTGGGGTGCTTGCGTCGTTATCGTAGCCTGTGGTGGGTGGGTTGGCGCTGTGGTTTGTATGACTATTTGCGTCGTTTGTTTTGTATCATCGCCGGAATCGTCAACTGTTTCTATTTTGTACGAACGTGCCGTTGAAGTACGTTGCCGCACCCGGGCCGGATTTTGTATTTGTTGTGGCTGTATTTGCGGCGTGGGTGTTGAGGGCTCAGGAGGTGTTTGAGATTGTGGAGGGTCACTCTGCAAAGAAGACAAATTGAGATTAGTATATAAAAAATGACAAAATAAAAACGTATTCGATATAAAAACTGATTGGTTTTGCTTTTATTACAAATAAAAAAATAATATTGACCACTTATTTACTTAAATCACTGGAATATTTTGGGAGGAAGAGATTGCTATTTAACCTAATTTACACTAATTCGAAAGTATTCTAACCGGTATACAACGTTAATTTAAAATTAAATTTTGTATAAAAGTGAAAAGAGCTTCTTTGTGAAATAGACAAAATTTTCTGGTATGGAAGCAGACGTTGAAAAATACATTTTACGAGAAAGAAGAAAACTTTGAAACTCGCACTCAATCTTGAAATAAATCAATTTTTTTTTTGTTTTCTGTCGTTTGTTAGCAGGAATTTCAGATCGAATTCCACAATGTTGTAATGGAAATGTTCTTCCGAGTAAGAAATACTTGCTTATTTTTATTTGTGCAATTGCAAATAAAACCACAATTGCCCCTTTTATAAGTTTAAAAATGATTGCTTAAGTCTTGAGTATTCCTACATTGGCTTAACTGCATATTACCGTTAAAACTAAAAAGGCTGAAACATCTCACAAGATTACATATATTATCAAATTTTCCACAAAAAATCCATCTACTTAAAAAATATCCTGAAATAGGTGTGTATGTTTCATAATTACGATACTATTAAATTGGACATGTACCGAACCGTCATATAGTTCTTGCCCAAAATGTTAATTTTAATATATTTAGTTATAATGACTTATTAGCATCTGTCCGACGAAAGGCCCGGCACCATAATATTAACTGACGCTTTACCTAAAGGAAATTTGTTCCGCGCTGTACATGAAAACATTATTTTACCAAGTTTATATGGTAGTTGCTGAGTAATTTAACATCCCTTTCAGTATCTGAAGATGTGTAGCACAATTAAGTATGTTTTAATTTTTATAAAAATGTTGAATTAATTCTATACCAGTATTGAAAAGTACTTGGAGGTAGTATCATAAAAACGAAAATGAAAAAGCAAGACATTTAACATATACAAACTTCAGTTATTTAATTTTTTAAATCATATTTTTTCGAAATGAGTGTTAATTTTTTATATTTTTACCCCCCAAATAGCATTGCAACAGAAAAAGGAACCTAATTATACACACAAATATTTGTAAAGGAAAATACGAGTGGCATAGAGATATCCCGAGTACAGTTGCGCTTCGACGCAAAATCAATAAACAAACACACACACAATCATTATCGCTGTACTTGCATAAAACGAGAGCCCACTCCAACCAACCACCATCAAGATATACCAAGCCTTAAAAAACGCGGTAAAACGAGCGATACACATTTTGAAATTAACAACCGAAAATGAAAAAAAAAAAACCGAAAATCTGAGCCAAAACAAAATTGCAATAAAAACAAACCAATCAACAAAATCGTTGATGTTTTCTTCAACATTTTCTGGCATTCAAATACTTACATCTGTTAAGCCTTTTATTTGTAGAGCCTCTGCTGTACTTATAAAAGCTGGTAGTGCCTCCTGCTTCACATTCACCTCTCCGCAATACATAAATTGGATGAGATCTTTCAAAGCCGTGTGGCTGACATCCTTTAGAAAAACTGCAAAGAAAAGAAAAAACGCATTAGTTTCATTCGTGACCCAAACTACTCCGGGCAAGAAAACACATACCAAAGGCGTGTTGATTGGCTGGCATTTGAGTGAACATTTTGCGAAAATAGGGCGAACAGACGGACAAAACAAGACGATGAGCCTTGACAAACTGTCCCTCTGCCGCCAGCGTCACATCCACCAGATCGCCACGGCACAACGACTCATGGAAACCCGCCGATAAATTGCTATTAAAATTGTTCCAGCACAACGAGAACTGCTCGTCGTCCGCCATGTTGTAAGGTAACACTATTTACTGTATCGTACCGAAATATTCTTTTACTGTTTCTTACTCCTTACTGAAAAATGAAAATAGAAAAAAAGTGCATTAATAAATAAACAAAATCGATATTAACAATTTTCTGTGGCAAAGCAAAAAAGAAGAATGTGATTTTTAATTAATCTGAACATAATCGCCAATACACCTTTTCTTCTTTAGCTTTTTTAAATAAATTGTTATTTCTTTGCTTTCTTTTATATATTTTCACTCTTCAAATACTTACAAAAATAATTTAGTTAACCTTTTTCTATTGGGGAAAAATAGAAAAATTCTGTAATCTGCAACCCCTGCCTCAGCCGAACGGTTGTATGCTCACGACAAAATTCTACGAATGAATGAGACGATGATGCTTGTATTTTGTGTATCGAGTTTCGTCAAGTCGCCATTTTGTTATTCGTTATAAAAAAAATTCAATCGATGCCTTTATCTCTTTCAGTCCAATACAACCCTGCACTGTTGCAATAAAATCGATGGTCACATGTACTTACTTTCATCATAATACATAGCGACTTATGAAATTTGAAGAACAAAACACTGGAAAGAAATTAAAAAGAAAGGAAGAAAAAAAAAAAAAAAACAATCGTGAGAGTGGCTACTTGGAAATACGGTGTATCATAGGTAAAAAAGTATAATAAAAAGCAAACCAATACGTTTTTTAAAAGATAGAAGCTCTGATTCTTTAAATGGCGTTTACACAAGACAATTTGTCTTGAACTAGAGTTGTATTTAAATACCACATGCACATGACATCGATTACTTTCTTCATTGCCTAGCATTTTTCACAAACCGTAAAGGCAAATAAAATTTAAAAATGCTTACAAATAAAAAACTATTAAATTTCCAGAAAAACAACAATTTTGTAATTTCATCGAGAAATTTGCAATATTCGGAACTGAAACGTCACAAAAAATATTGGTAATTCGACATATAATATGTGAACTCTATATTTTAACTCAGGGTTACGTGCTTGGTACGATCAAATCAAGCATTTTGACAATGTGATGTAAAATTTATTATTTTAAAAAATTGCAAACATGCGATTGCATGACTTTACATTCTCAGTTCTTCCTGGTTGCGTGCAAGAATCTTTAACTTTTGCACATTTTAGGCGAACTTTTACCATTTTGAAAATTAAGGAACAATGCATTGTAGTCCTCTACCAGGTGAATCATTCACACAGCTGCTGGGGATATGAACTGTCAAAACTAAGTTTTGAATGAAAAATTATTCAAATTTTTAAAAAATTTAAAAAACGCATGGTTACCTAGATTGTCATCGTATAAGAAAACGTATAAAAATCTACTTAAATTAAATTTAAATTTTTTGACATATCACTGTTCCCAAGCGTTGATGCTACAATGGACAAATCAAAAAGTTGCATTGAAAAGAGTAATGTCATGTTTTCTATTATGAATAATTTAAGAATAATTGCTTTCTGGATAATATATCTTATTTGTTCGAACGTTCCCACGCCTCACATTCCCACCCCTGCCGACCGAGGGGGCGACCTCCCTTTACGGAGGGATCGCGTACACATCATGATCCGCATCATAATGGGAATTCAGTAGGAAATTTAAAACCAGCTTCTCGATAGATAAGAAATGATGTTGTTGGGCAATGAATGAATGAAAAATTATTCAAATAGTAACCTCAGATTGTCGTCGTACAAGATTTTTATTTTTAAGCTAAAATGAAGATACCATTGTGAAAAAATGCAGTAACTACCAGTTACTTTCACAAAAATCTTGGTATATCCCTATAAAAATGCATTTATATTAACGGAAAGATGTAATAATGAAAACCCGATAATGTGAACTTTATCCTTTATTTTTCATAAAGTAGGGTTTAACAAAACTGGACTATAGAAAAATATAAAAGAACGAGCCATATACTTTTAATTTATGTTTTCCTCTTTTTTTAAGAAAATATTGTCATTTTCAATAAATTTTAATAATTTTGAAATTTTCTACTCTGCAGAAGAGAGACATGTCAAAAAATTTTATTGGTACCGACATTCCCAAAATTTAGATTCTTTGTTTCGACTCTATAGACAAAATTCGCACCATGGATTAGATAGGGAAAAACATTTTCTTGCGTCTGAATTTGATTTTCTTTTTTTTTCTAATTTCTATTAAATTTTTCTATTTTTATTTTTTTTTTGAAATGTCGTAATTAATTTTTCCGATAAATGGTCTCATTTGTTAGGGGCATATTTAATCATTGTTCTGAATGCAACAATATTTTGATTTGATTTGAAATATGTGCAAATATGAGTGTCACTAGAAAAAATTTTGTGTGAAGAATTAAGTAGTTCTTCCAAGGTTAAGGGTCAAACTACGAATTGAGAGCGAATCAAATGCAGTGGCAACGCCACATAATAATAAGAAAATATAGACATAATTATCCTGCTATTTTCAGTAAAGCAACAAAATTTGAGTAAAAGGTTGCAAAAGTATTAAATTCTTGCACATAACCTCGCATTTACCCATGCAAGTTACATTTTGAAAAATACGAATCACTTGCAAACTGACTTTTAACCCGATTGGCAATAAATGTTTCCAGCTAATGGGCAATGACAGTAAATTGTCACATGCAACTGTCAGTTCAATTTTTTATACCCTCCACCATACTATGGAGGGTATACTAATTTTGTCATTCCGTTTGTAACTCCTCGAAATATTCATGTCAGACCCAACAAAGTATATATATTCTTGATCAGCGTAAAATTAAGTACCTCCCGGTATTCGGTATTTTGATGATTTTAACGACATTATTCACCGGAATTATTTCAAATTTGGCATTTGAAGTTTGTAATGGATGCTACAGCCTAAGACAGAAAATTATCTGTGCAGGTCCACGTCTTCCTGTAGACCCAATATAACGGTACCCCCCGATATTCGGTATTTTAATGATTTTAGCGACGTTATTTACAGGGATTGTTTCAAATTTCGTATGTGAAGTTCGTAATGGATACTTCAGCCCATGCCAGAAAATTGTCTGTGCAGGTCCACGTCTTCGTAGTTCGTAATGGATACTACATCCTAAATCAAAAAATGAGCCATGTAGGTCCACGTCTTCAAATAGCCCCCTATATAACGGTACCCCCCGATATTCGGTATTTTGATGATTTTAGCTACATTATAAACAGATTTTTCTTCAAGTTTCGCATTTAAATATTGCAATAATTTATGACAAAAGTTGCCTATGCAGGCCCACGTCGTCGTATAAGCATTCGGTATTTTTAAGATTTTAACAGAATTTTTAACGGGTTTTATTTTTTGGAAATTGCCAAATTTGTACCAAATGGTGGAGGGTATTAAAAGTTCGGCTCGGCCGAACTTACAGCTTTTTTACTTGTTTATTTTTAAAGTGTTATAATTTTCATGTGCAAACACTGGGTCACCGTCTATTGCTTAATTTTTGACTTTCCTATATTAATTTTCTTCATTGCCCCTTCTGTTATTTTTGTTTATATTTGTGTATAAAAATAAAACAAAAACTGAATTGACAGAAAATTGGCATTACGAACATATTTTTTTTCGTTTCCATTTCCCTTACATCTCTCTCCTTGCCGCAAGTACACATTCAGCTCTTTCATATGCAATTGCATATATCACATAAAAAAGTGATGGCAATAATGTTCTACCCTGTCAAATATGTGGCAACCCTATTAAACTTAACGAATAATTTGTGTGTGTGTTGAGTACTAAAATTTTAGAAGCTTCATTTTGATTGGCTGCTGCAATGGGGTTATTTTGGTGCGATTAGTACGACACGTAACGTAAATCAAGATTCGTAATTTATCTATGTATACCATTAACATCGTTTACATTGTGTTAAACAAATTGGTAGTTTCTCTGTGAAGTAACAAAAACATTGTATTTGTTAAAAAAATTAAGACAAGGGGTGTTTTCGGCTAGATTTAAAATTCTCTCTCACTCTCTCTCTCTCTCTCCCAAAATCAGAGATTTTCTGCAAGTAAATTTGCCTTAGGCGAAATTGGACTCATCTATCTTTTTAAATAATTTTATAATTTTTTATCCAAAGAGTAAAATCATAGTTTTCTTTAATATACGATCCACATTGTTCTCTCGATCTATTACTTTACTTTACAATTTTTTTATAGTATATGACGGGAAATGCAAAATATATACCATTATATGTTTTTTACCACCGAACATATCTTGTGCATACATTTCGATGGAGGTAATTTTCATTTTTAATTTTTTAAATGAAATTAGTTGGCTTATTCTTTTATTAACTCCTAATTTCGATGTCGCATGTGTTCACAGATAAGTGAACATTTTTTATAAGATTATTGCAGTTAGGTAATGAAGAGAAGAAAATCTATTTTGAATAAAGTAATACAGTGTGATAAGGAAGCATAGTGCGATGTCTGTAAAATAATTCTATTTGCTGCATGTGGTATTTTTGAGTTAGATTACGGGATGTAATCTTTACTCAGACTGATAAGCAAATGTAGCATGTTTGCTTGCCACAACTGAGATAGCTATGCATCTTTTATGACCTCCCCTTAGAATTTATGACTCATGGTGCACAGGCATTGTAGATGTATATCTCTCTCTCTCGCTTACACTTTATACTAGACTAGGTTAAGAAAAAATATCATAAGTAGTACTTAAGAATTATTTGAAATGAATAAAAACAGTGTAGTAACAAAACTAAAACGGTGCATACAATTTCTTCCGCGTAACATCTGGTCCATCGAGCCTTAACGTAAAAAAAAAATAATAATAAAAGAACCAGCAAAATAAATGAAACGTATAACAAAATGGACAAAACTAAAACCCTGATAAAAAACCAAAGAGACATAGTCGACATTCTGGTGATAATTGCGCAGCAGCTGAAAGATCCAATGCGCACTTGTAGAGTGTCCGTAATGGAAAGAACTGCTAGAGGAATATGGGACATTTTCCTAAAAAATCACGAGATATTGATGTCGAAACCGTTTAAATATCTTGACTATTACAAAAAAGATGAATACGGCTACACCCGAGAATTGATGCAGGAAATTGAAAAAGCAATTGATGAAATTAAACAGGAGAACTAAGATCTCAACAATTGCTTTCGGAAGACTCAACAGAAGCTGAAGAAACTGGAGCAGACAATAAATTGATGGCGGCAGACAATAAGGATGATAAAGGAATGGAGACTCAAAACCTACGTCCCGAAACAGAGGAAAGGGAAGAATTGAGTGCAAGGAGCATTCAATGGAATTTCCCTAGTATGCGGAGTCAAAAGGAGATTGCGGCAAGAGAAACGGCGGTGACGGCGAGCAGACACGATGAGGGGGCCTCACATCTGAGCAAAAAGGCGTCAGACATAAGGGATGTGACTGTGGGGTCATACTCCCGGGAGGA